TTGTGTTTATAGATATTGGTGGCCAAAATTATTTCAAGACACTATTGATTTTAGAAAATCATGTGATAAATGTCAGAAGGCCAATACAAGATTTTTAAAAATTTCTTCTACTTTGAATCCAATATATGTACCACTTCTTCCATGGGCTCATAGGAATTGATCTTTGCAGCCTGCCCACTTCAGAAGAAGGCTACACATGTATTGCAGTTGCCTCTGATTATTTCACAAAATGGGTTGAGGCAGAACCTATGAAATCAAAGACAGCTGAAGAGACTTGTAAATTTATTTATGGTCTGATTTGCCGCCATGGCTGCGCAACTGTAAATCAAATTATATAAATATATATCGGTTAAAAAATGTGCATTTATGATAATTTATAAACTTTTGATTTTATACAATATAGATACAAATCAATGATCAAGAGAGTTTGTGAATGAAATGGCCACGAGATTACATAAAATGACAGAGACGGAGCAACGCATTTGCAGTGCATATCATCCTCAAGCTAATGGGTTGACAGAAAGGAATAATCGTACTATTCAAAACTTAATGTTAAAGGTTTTGAGTGATGATCAAACACTATGGCCTAGGGTTCTTCCGGAGGTATTTTTTGCAATGCAAACCAGTGTCCGCAAATCTACAGGATTCACCCCATTTTATATGATGTATGGTCGGAACGCAAAGCTGCCATCAGAAATTCGAAAATTGAGCCAGATATTGTTAAGGAAATCAATAATAATATTGAGAATGACTTTGAAGAGAGTGAATTATTAGAAAGAATAATGAGCCTATCAGTCGTATGGAAAAGGGCAAAAGAAAATATACTTGTTGCCCAAGATAGACAAAAAAGGGATTATCCAAAAAGGCAAAAGGATAAAATCCCTTATGAAGTCGGGCTACAGGTCCTGATCTGGAACTCACGACGTGCGGATAGAAAGGGTGGAAAAATGTCCGAATCGCTGCTTGAGCAAGGAGATCGTAGGTAGCGAGGATCACCATGCAATTATAAGGGGATCTATAATCTCTTATATGATGCTGTTGGAAAATAATGATATTTTTACTGATGGGGAAAAACATAATAAAACATTTGGTTGATACAAAAAAACATCAACTTGGATCGTGGGCATATGAATTAGATATCGTAACATCTGCTACGTTTTTCCAGATGCCAATTATTATTTATTGTAAAAATGGAAATGAAATATATTACATATTCTGCACTATCAAAAATGGACTGTATAAAAAATTTTAATATATATTTGATAAATGCATCTTCAGATCATTTTAATCGTATTATAGTGTAATATACACTCCTCAATTTTTTGTGATAATTATGTTTCCTTTTTTGGGATATATTTTCCTTTTATAATATTTTTCTTGTTTTTTTGAAATAAAATTATGTATATCCTTTTTATTTAAATAGTATTAAGAAATCAGCCAGTTTTAATATTATTGCAATAAAATATATATATATATATACAAACAAAAATAGTTGTTTCAGTTTAAAAGAATCATTTAAACATTAAGATTTGATTTTAAACCTAATTTTATATCTGTATAAATATTTTGTATTCCATAAATATAAGTGTTAAATTTTAATCAGCTAAAAATATAATTATATATACATCTAATAAATAAAATGACGATTTTAAGAGGCCAAGAGGAAATGATTAATCAGAGTGATAGATAGTGATTGAGAGCTTTGACATAATAGAAAACCTTATTTGTTTGTGATTTGCTTACTTTTGTCTATTAAAATGTTAAGGCTTGAGATTCCAATAATACAATGTATGAAGAAAATTTGTATACATTTTATTTATTTAAAATTTTCTGCAATAATTATATATACATCTAATAAATAAAATGACGATTTTAAGAAGCCAAGAGGAAATGATTAATCAGAGTGAGTGATTGAGATCCTTTGACGTAATAGAAACCCTTTTTGTTTGTGATTAGCTTACTTTTGTCTATTAATTTTAAGTCTTGAGATTTCAATAATATGATGTATGAAGAAAACTTGTATATATTAAACAAATAAAATTTATATAGGATATTAAGAATTGTAAAATAAATAAACTCTTTTAAAAAATTATATAAGAGAATAGAAAATTTATATAATCATTTAAATCTATTTTAAATAAATTTTTACAAATCGAAAATGACCGCCAATATTTTTGAAGAGATGAAAAATATATATAATAAAAAATATTTTATAATTTTAATGGCCGCCATTATATTTGAAGCGATGAAGAATATATATATTAAAAAATATTTTATAATTTTAATGGCCGCCAATATACTTGAAGCGATGAATAAATATATAATAATATTTATTTTAAAATTTTAATGGCCCCCCAATATATTTGAAGCGATGAATAAATATATAATAATAAATATTTTAAAATTTTAATGGCCCCCAATATATTTGAAGCGATGAAAACATCTCCTAAAAATCAATACGGTATTGATTCTACAATACCAAAATATCACTACGGTATTGAATCTACAATGATAATATCAATACGGTATTGAAACTACAATGGGTATTGATTTCACAATCCTACACCGGGCCTAAAAAAATTTTTTTTTTAAATCTAGGCAGGGCCGTGTTCCAAAATTTTTTTTAAATATTCTGGTCGGGCCGGGCCGTAAAAAATTTTTGGAAAAAAAATCCGGGCTGGGCCGTACAAATGGTACCTCTACAGGTCTCTGAATTATATTAGGAGTAGGATGAAAAAATTTGATTAAATATTATGTGTTTCTAATACCTCTTAATTTCCTGGACTATCTGATGCACATAAATTTACCAATATTTTATAAGTCCTATTGATGTTAATAATAGGAATCTTTCTTGTGATGATGTTCCTTGGTTGTGTGTTATTAAATTCTTTAAATAAGTCGTACCAATCTTTGTAATATAGGTTAGACTTTTTATTGACTGCACCATTCTTGTAGTGTATTGTTAGTAGTAATATAAATATAAGTCTATTAATAATTCTTACAATTTTTAGTAGTAATAGAAATATAAGTCAATTAATAATTCTTGTAATTCTTTTTCTTTTATTTCATATGATAATAATATATCCTTTTCTATTATTCAATTTCATATCGAGTTTTTAACAAACAATTTTATTATAATTATAATAAGCTACATTATTGAACGATTTCTTTTATAATTCTATTAAATAATATATAGATTTAATTTTATTATTTAAAAATTAATAAGAATACCTAAATATTTATTAAATGAATACTATTTATTTTCACTAAGTCAGCTTGCAATCAAATTCTGTATTAAAAATAGAATTTCAATATCACTCACTAAATATTAATTTAGCATTAACAGTTGAAGCTTATTTGACTTATATTATTTAAATTATTATATAACCCTAATTAAATATATATAATAATTTATTAATTGACAATTAACAAATTTAATATTGTAATTAACCGAGTTCAAAATCACTAATCAACTATTTTATTCATTTTTAAATTTAATTACCATGCCACTTCCTCAAAATATTTTTAAGGTTCAAATAAGTATAAGAGATTTTTTATAAAAAGTAAGAATATATAGTTTATAATCCTCTATTATATATAATTGGTTATAAAATATTAGGTAAAATGCCACTTTTACAGACGTATTTGACAGTTATATAATATATTACAGTTAATAATTTAATAAATTTTATAAATAAACGCTTTTGATAATAAATATAAGTATCAATTTACTTTCAATTCAATAACGCCATCTATTTATTTAAAAATATTATAAAAATAAAATATCTTAGAAATCTGCAAAGTTAGGCTCGGCCCGTACCGATTATAAAAATTTTCCCAAGGAACATCTTCTAGAATTTCTAATTTAATGTCTTTACAATATAAATTATATTTTTACCCTTTTGTATCAAAAAATTTCAAAAAATGTTAAAATATAATGAATATGACAATTGTCACATTAAAATATTATCCTTAAAGACAAATAAAATAACACAAAAATGTTTAATAAAAATATTATTGTTTATTTATAACAAAGAATTCCTCAAAAAAGATTTATTTACTAAGAAGATTTAAAATTATTATCAAATCAAAATATGTTAAAAAATCTTTTTAAACTTCAAAAATATTTTTTGCTTAAAATTTTGGGCGTGAAAATCAGTAATAAATTGTAACAAAAATAATATTACAATTAGAGATCTGCAAAAGTAGGCCAAGCCAATACGGGCTTTGGGCCATTTTTTTTTAAAAAATCGGTTCGGGCTGGATCGGGCCTAATATTTTTTAAAAAAAATCAGGCAGGGTCGGGTCGGGCCTTAGATATTTTTTTTAATATATCGAAATTTATCAATTGTATGTTGATTTTAAATGTAAAAAAAATTAGATTTTATTTATTGAAACTAGACGCCATATAACATATATCTTTCATTTTGAGTAATTATAAAAATTAATTTCTATATTTAAATTAATAAATTCTTTTAAAAAAAAAATCGGGTTCAGGCCGGGCAGGGCTTGAAAAATTAGGCCCGATGCAATCACTAATTACAATAGCAACATATCTTTCTTTTTTTTAATAAAAAAAAATCAAATAAATAAATCCATTTTCATAATATAATATAATCATAAAGAGTACAGAAACAAGCTCACACGATAAAAAAAATCTTAATGTCAATTTTCCTCAAAAACTTACAAATCAGATTTTATCATTTTTAGTTTATTATAATGGCTGGAAACATATTTAAAGAATTATACATACAAAAAATAATAATATTTATTTTTCTAATTGTAAAGCGAATATTTACTAATAATTCGTACGAATAGTGATATTACTAAAATCAAATACGAATAATTTTTTTTGTGAAATTTAAATGTGTTATAATAATATACATCGACAGTTTTATTATTTTATTTTTAGCATGAATAACAAACTCACGAGAAAATATATAATAGTTCGTACCAGCACAGATTTGTTTATTAATAAAAAATATGCTGTTAATTAGCCATTTATTTTTTTAATTTAGTTAAAAATACAATTTTTATGTCAAATGATAATATATATCAGAGACCTGCAGAAGTCCTATTTGCACGGCTCGGCCTGGAATTAAAAAAAATTTTTTTGGCCCGGCACGGGTTTTATATTTTCAGGCTTGACTTGGCCCGGATTTTTTAAAAAAATTAAAATCGGCCCTAAGGTCTCTGATATATAAAGAGTAAAAGGTTGTGTTGATAAGCGCTGTTAACCAGGAATTTAAAGTAATTAATAAATTATATACATTTAATTATAAAGTAATTGTCGAGAATTGAAAAGATTTACATTATAATTTTGATCATCTATGTAATATCATAAAATTATAAAATGTATTGGTATAATAAATTTAAACAACGAAAATGCATTGTATGTTGTCATTTGCCCCAACGAAAATGAGCATAAGCTTTATTAGTTTCGCACAAAGCGTGTAAATCTCTTTTCTTTTTTATGACACTGCCCTAAATCATGTTTGTAAAATAGATAAATAAATAGCAATAAAAATATGGGAATTGAGGCTCGTGAATAAACTAAACTAGGACGAATTTCAGATTATAAAATTATGGGCTAAGCTGTAAAAAAAAGTTTTATATTGATGGAACATATTGGGACAATAACATTAAATATAACGATCAGGAGCGTCACTGGCCTTTACAATCTCAGGAGGTAAATTTTTAAAATTATTTTTTATCTTCCTTACAATTATATAAAAATTAGTTGAAAAAAACATGTTTTTTTTTAATTTCAATTTATTTATTAAAAATTCTATTAATCAAAACAAGGGTTGGCAAGTCGGTCAGTCAGTTGACCGGTCAAATTCAGTCAATTGACCGGAGAGTATTTGACCTGGTCAAATACTCTAAAAAAATCCAAAGAAAAAAAATTAAAAATATGTTTAAAAAAAACGATATATGCTTATTTTTAGGTCCCAAATATCAAGAGGAGCATCTCGGGCCATTCCACGTCAAATCGATCACGATTCGGCCGACCCCTTTTAAAAGTGTTAAAAATTTCTGGAATTATTTAGATAGGTAAAAGAGTGAGAAAGCCGTTCATTTTAGCTCGCTAGCACACCTGGTTCTCGAGATATAGGGGCTCAAAGGTACAGAAAAGAGCTACTTTGGAATTTTTAAAATTTTTAAAATGCTTATATCTCAAAAACTATTTATAGTAAAAAATATTATAATATATCATTTTGTAGGTAAAGAAATTCTCTAATGGGCTAACAAAGAATAATAAATATTGGCGCCATTATAGGCTTTTAACATCCGGTTTGCCTAAATTGCTTTACCTGTATTTTTAAGCAAAATAGTGAGTTTGTTTTCGAATTTTTTTTATTGTTTTTTATTTAGACACCTTTTATAAATATATATACGATGTCAAAACCTTGGCGACGCTATCGACTCCAAAAATTGATAAAAAAATAGATGGCGCTTTATGAAATTACGGATTATGGTTAAAATTTTGCTGCTAACTTATCAATAACCAAATATTTTCACTTTTTATATTAAAAAATTTTGATTTTCTATTAAATATATTAATTAACTGAGGAGCAGAGTGGGAATATGTTCATTAGACACTTAATAATGTAACAAATTTCCAATAATAAATATCTTTCATATTATTTTTTTAATTTTTAAGGTATCAACAATTTCACCGAATTTTTCATCATTTGATGAAGAAAGATAATGGTATAATTTCAGTCGTTAAAACTTTTTTTTACTCTTGATATTTTTTTCTTCGAATATTTCTTTTCACATAAGCGTTTTCTTTTAATGAGAGATTCCCCATTTGATTGTAGGGATATATTAATGTTATCAATAGCCTCTTGATTAATTATATGAAGGGGAGAATCAATATCTACATTGTCATTTGAAGTATAAGGAATGTTTGATAATTTTTGTCGTGATGAAGTGCATATTAACATATCTAAATTGAATGGTAAATTTTTTTGGGTCATCCAGGGTAGATTCTTTCTTAGATTCTCGCGATAATAAGCATGTCTCCGTAGATTAAATGGGTTGCAACATTTTAATATTTGGTACGTCTTTCTGTGATATAGAATAAAATTTTAATTGATCTACAATACATGTTTTTGCTCTCTCCAAATCCAGATTGTTAATGGTAGACAGACGGTAAAATTAATCTGAACGGACAGGTTAAAATTATTTCTCAGAAAGAGAGATCGTTTTAAACAATTTATTTTGTAAAATATAATCGAATATATGCTTAATATTTTTACTGCAGCTGTTATTTATTATCGAGCTAATAAGTCATGCGCTCGCTATAGTAGCATAGTAGAGATCTTAAAAATGTAAAACATTTTAATGATAGTGGGAGGGAGGGGGAGGGCAGAAATGGAAAATTTTTATCACAATTCTTATAAACGTATCAATATTTTAATTTTCCTTAAGAATAATATTTTTCAATCTAATTTTTTCTTCAAGTTTTGGTAAAAATGAATATTATGGAAAAGTCGATAGCGTCGCCAAGGTTTTGACATCGCATATATATTTATAAAAAGTGTGTAAATAAAAAGTAAAAAAAAAAATTCGAAAACAAACTCACTATTTTGCTTAAAAATACAGGTAAAGCAATTTAGGTAAACCGGATGTTAAAAGTCTATAATGGCGCCAATATTTATTATTCTTTGTTAGCCCATTAGAGAATTTCTTTACCTACAAAATGATATATTATAATTTTTTTTACTATAAATAGTTTTTGAGATATAAGCATTTTAAAAATTTTACAGATTCCAAAGTGGCTCTTTTTTGTACTTTTGAGCCCCTATATCTCAAGAACCAGGTGTGCTAGAGAGCTAAAATAAACGGCTTTCTCATTTTTTTACCTATCTAAATAATTCCAGAAATTTTTAACAATTTTAAAAGGGGTCGGCTGAAAAAGTGCCTTTTTTGATCGATTTGACATGGAATGCCCTAGTAGTGAATTCAATGAAGTATATGATATAATCCAAGAATTAGCCATTTTACAAGGTGGTGATGACCCAAATATTTTAAGTGATATAATTAATTTCAGAAGCAAAAGCAGTATGTTTAATAGCAAATTATATGGAAAACAGTAATTTCCATAAGAAACAATCAATTCCGATCTCAAGTTAATAGATTAAACTTTGCCCACCATGTCCATTAAGAAACTAACAATTCCTAGTTCTACTTCTTCTTTAGAAAGAAATGAATCGATTTGGGTTAATATTCTTATGAAAATAGAAATCGAAAGATCTCGACATCAGGGAAATTGATTAAAAAATATTAAAGAAATTGATATGAATATGAATCAGAACAAGATTCTGCTACAGAGAGCTAAACGTTAGTTATTGAATGATAATAAATTTAAAAAATTAATATTATAGATTCATTTTATTCAGGGATCCAAACCGAACCTGAACCGGACCAATAAACAGCGAAAACCCGGTATTTTTTATCAAATTTAAACCGAACCTGAACCGCTAAAAAATTTCTAGCCGAACCTCTAAAATGCCTCTGAACCGGTGCGAGTCTCACAATCATATGCTTATAAAATAATGTGTAAGATTGCAAAAATTTTAAGATTATTATCAATCACATTTGATTGATAAGTGTCAGTCATAATTTTTATAAACTTTAGTATTATTGCCATTTTACAAATTTTTTTAAATATTTTAAGCTTATAAATTATAATGCCTAGATAAAAATTAATTCCTATATATAAATTATTTTGATATAGTATTATAAATGATACATCAAATCTGATATCATACTGGCAGTGCTGGCTACCCAAGTTTGTGTGGAAAGATGTTTTTCAACAATTAAATTTATATTATCTCCTTATAGATGTAATTTAAGTGAGACGAATTTTGAAAAAATATTAATTGTGCGGCTTAATAAAAAATTTTTAAGTTATTGTTCTTAGAAGTGGGCGCGGGCCTAATTTTTTATTCATGACCTGCCCGCTCACGGTTACAATAAAATAATTCACGCCCATTCACGCTAACCACTAAAAAAATTTCAACCCGACCCGCCCGCTCACAAAAGGCAATATTTTAATTCACGCCCGAAAATTCACAGTGTTTTTAAATTTTACAAAACTATTGCTATTATTTTACATTTTTTGAATTTATTTTATTAATTTCATAATCCATATTAATTACAAAAAATAAATATATCGAAATTTTTATTGAGAAAAAGAAGAATGCTCATCTTTTTATTTCAATTGTGTATGCCTTTCCTCATAAGAGATTGGTTACAGAAAATAACCTTTCACTAGAAGCCGAACTTGCGGGGGCTGACAAAATATTGCTCGCTAATCTTCTCAAAAAAGGAAATGAATATTCCAGCTTCCAAAACTTCAAAATATTGTTGATGCGTCATCAGAATCATCTAGAAATTCTCTAAATTTTTCATTTAGAATATACGGTCTTTTATGATGTAGGATGAATTAGAAAAGTTATAAATGATAGTTGACCATTTAGAATATACGGTTTTTTATGAGTTTAGGATAAATTAGGAAAGTTTAAATGATAGTTGGTATTGACTTATGCATATCATCTAATTTTATATCATTTAGCATTTTTAAAGTTGTTTTATATATATCATCCTTTTCTTCTTTTATTAAAAACTTAAGACTTTTGAAATTCGGATCTAGAATTAAGCCTACCTTATGTAGTGGCTGCATAATAGATCTTTCTTTTAAAAGAATTTTGTTCTGTTTTTTAAAGTTTTGATTATTATTGTATCACGTTCAGAAAATTACCAAAATTTTACTAATTTTTGTTTCCATAGACACTTCATTTATTGTTGGACGAGAATCTGCGCTCAGATTATCCGAACATTTTTTAAATATTGATAGAAATTTATCTAACTCGAGTATGATGTTGATATCAATTGTGGCTAATCTATTTAATTCTTGCTGCTAAACAAGTACACCTGTATTTCAGAATATGATTTTAAAAAACTCTGTATCATGATATATATAGAGTTTCCATCTCGTTATTACATCTTGTTTAAGGGTGTGGTTTAGCTTGCTATTAGCTGTAGATTTTTTGAAATATTATACTATAATTTTACACCATTTATATTTAAGGATATTTCAGTTAAACAATTGTCAAAAATATGATGCATAATATTATTTAGTATGGCATATACATGCTAGAGTTTCGTCATCTTTGAATGCATTTATAAGATTTGCTCCGTTATCAGTCACAACTATACATTTATTTCTGTGTATTCTTCTAAAATTGAATTGACTAAACTTTTAATTTTGACGCCTATTTTTTTGATTTTCCTTGTGGTCAAAACAAATTCTTTTAATACAAAATCCTTGCTGATAATAGTAATGGTTAAAAAAACTTTGATTTTTATAGTAATCCGTCCCAAAATCAGTGGTTATGAACAAGTAATTATTATTTATCATGCTTTTAATCTTAATTTCATCGTATATCTTTGGAGCTATAGTATTCTTGAGAGTTTTCCTGCTCACAAGTATATCTTTTATATTTTGTTGTTCATATGTGACACCAACATTTATTAACTCTTGGCCTAGCTTGTAAAATCCTTCACTTTCTGTTGCATTTAAAGATCGAAGATCTTTGCAAATAAAATGTAACTGACTTTTCTGTAAAATGCTTAAGCAAAATTTAGCAAAAAGTCTCGTGATAAAACACCTAAACATAAAAAAAAATAGAACTAACGGAATGATACCGGATGTTGTTTATAAAATGAGGAAGATTTTTTGTTTTCAAAATTATTCTTTTTCAAGAAAATTAAATTAGAAAATATATATTATAATTATAAATTGCAAGTTTATATTTAAAAAAAAACAATTTTAAAAATTAAAACATCAGTGATTCACGGGAAATTTATGCTCACGCCCGATCATGCCCGGGAAAAATTTTGGGAAGGCCCGTCACGCCCAATCACGCCTTATAATCTAAAATTTATTTACATTCACGCCGTGACCCACCGTGACAAGATGGGTCATGCGTAATTTCACGGCCCGCGCCCACCTCTAGTTCATATTAAAATAATCATTGATATTTATTTGTTATATTTATAAATTAAATATTATTTTATAATGCGCAATTAATAAAAATGAAGGTTTTATCTATGTGTTTTTTATTTTAATTATGAAATAAATAAAAAAATTTCCCTATAGATAATTCGAATTGAATACAAAAGGAGGTTCGAACCGAACCGATATTTTTATTTTTTGCGAACCAACTCGGAACCTTGAACCGTTATTTTTATCCAACCTGAATCTGAGCCGATATTCTTTTCGGTTTGGATCCTTGATTTTATTATTATATTCAAAATAAAGTTAATATTGACTTTAATAAAACATTTAACCGTATTTGACCTGTAAAATATCGGTCAATTGACCGAAACGTATTTGACCTGTAAAATATCGGTCAATTGACCGAAACGTATTTGACTGGTCAAATGCACAACCTTGTCTTAGGATAACCTTAAAATAAAATGTCACAATAAAAAAAAATTAGATATCACTCATCGAATAATAAAACTTTTGGCAACATTTCTGGTTTTCCTTTAAAACAAAATAATTTTTAGATTTTGAATCTACTACCTCTTTTGCATAATACAGAATTCAAAATTCTTTTTATTTTGATAAAGTTCTCTAAAAAATAAAGATTTCTGATCAAATTTTACCTAAAAATTCCAAATTTTTTTTGTTAGTAATTTTCTGAACATAGAAAATTTTTAAAGATAAAATCACAAATTTTTTCTTTTTCAAAAATTTTTTAAAGATTTGCAAACTCTAGAATGAATCATAAAATATTTATCAAACTTGATTTTCAGAGGCATCGATTAGTTCCCAGGCTAATTTATCTTCAAAAAGAATTTTACCGTCTTTATCTCTTGCTGCCTCCAAAATCCATTTTAACGCTCTGAATTGACTATGTTTGGGATTTATAGGACAAGGAACCTAATATCAATAAAATAAGCTAGTTTGGAAACCGGACTAAAAGAGGTGTATAGTTCGGTTCGGAATATTTTTAGAAAAAGTGGTTCGGTTTTTAGATAGATGCGATTCTAAGGGTTCCATACTCTTGAGTAATTAAACAAATTTCCAAAAAATTTAAACAATATCACACGATATTTTGAATAATATATAAATTCTAATTTAGCTGCTAGAATCGATTTCGGTTATTCAAAATCATAAGATGGGGTTTGGTTGTTAGAGTTATCCCAGTTACAAAATTTACGGTTTCAAACTCGAAAAATAAGATATGATGGAATATAAACATAATGACAGTGTACTAGGTCAGCTTAATATTAAATAGCCGGCTATTTCGTATCGGCTAAATAGCCAAAAAAGAAAAAAACGAAAATTAACAATGCCACCAAATACTTAAAACAAACCAAAATAGGGTGTCCTTGTCCTCTTTCAAATACTTTAGCTATTAAGTAACCAAATTAAGCCCATCTCCCTTAAAATACTAAAGTTTTTGACTTATTAAAAATCGGGATAAGTATATTAACCCTTTCATGCACAGAAATTTATACAAAAATTCGATTTTGCTTTTTATTGAAAATAATGAAAATATATAGTAAAAATCTCATAAAATTTCGTTATAATTTTATTTTTAAAAATAAAAAAATATTTAATAAGATATTACAAAAATTAAAATGGGACATCTGCTATTCCACTGTGCATATCATATTTATGATTTATTATTCATTATATGTTTTAAAACAATTTCGACTTTAGAGAGGCATAACGCCACATCTAAAACTGATCCAGGCGCGTACGCAGGAATTTGGTCTGGTGGGGGGAGAGGGGGGGGGGGGTAAATAAAACTTTTTAAGAAATATTATTGTTTTTTAAAAATATCAAGCATACATTTATTAGAACTAATAACTATTTCTAATACACAATTTTAAATTAATGTGAATTATAAAAAAATTATATGTATAAACCGTCATATAAAAAACTATAAAATAAATGTGAATTAAAAAATATTAAACGGATATAACTGGCGGTATAGAAAAACTATAAAATAAATGTGAATTATAAAATATAAAGTGAATATAACTACTATTTGAACCACTTAAATGACCCAAAATATAAATTTGAATTTTTTGAGCCTTTAAAATTTATATACATAAAAAATTTAAATGTTGGAAATAAAAATTAATATACAAAAAATTTCTTAATTGTATTTTGTGTGTTATATATTTACATGTAAAATCCAATCTACGTTGGGATTGAGCTAATTTTTCAATTATCTCATCTTGCTTGTCGTCAAATGCCTATGAATATTCAAAAGATCCAAACCTTTCTATCTACTTTCAGAAGTTGTACTTCCTGGTATGTCTTTCAGAGACCTGCAGGGCCGGCCCCTGGGCCGGACCGTATTTTAATTTTTTAAATATACCCGGGCGGGGACTGAAAATTTTTTTAAAAAAATATCCTGGCCAGGTTGTATATTTTAAAACAGCCTATATTTGATATTGTTATTATTAGCTATAAAAATCAAAAAAAGATAATTTATTTTAAAAAAATCCGGGCCGGGCCTGAAAATTTTATTTTAAAAAAAGCCGGGGCGGGCCTGAAATTTTTTTAAAAAAATCCGAACCGGGCCGTAAAAATTTTTAAAAATAAATCTGGGCCGTGCCCTGCGAATGTTACCTTTGCAGGGCTCTGTTATTCTTTTTAAAAAAGAGAATATTCTCTAGCTAATAAGGCATCATAAGATACTTTATAAAAATCTAACAAATATTTTTCTTTCTATCACCATCTGAAAAAGGTTGGTAAGGCTTTTGTAGAAGTAATATCTGCAGATTGGTAAGTGCTGCATGATGAATTAAAACTAAAAACCATTCATTTATTTGGGTTATAAATGTATCTAAGAGAGGGGACATTTGTTTTATAATACTCTTCTACTGATCCTATATTAATGTTTTAACGATGAGCTTGCCTTGCTGCAAGTCGAAGGAGACAAATATTAAACACGTATAGCTCTGCTTTTGACTCAACAATAATATATAAAATATGAAATTCTTCATTAACATTAGCCCTAATTTTCTTGAGTTCTAATAAAATGCTCGCCGCTATTCTCATCTTCTTAATATGTCTATGTCATGTTTTTGAAAAGTATTACATATAGTTGTATAATTAAATAATACATTCTAATGAGAAAAAAAATTTGGAATAAGCATTGAATCCAATAATTTCTTGCTTCTGAGGAAATATTTCTGTCAGACCATTGTGATATTTTGGTAATAGTAAATAATCGGCTCTTCTAACTCCATATAAGCTGTTTACTGCTTGATGGCGAAAACTCTATCTCGTTGGACAAGCTTGCAATTGGACAAGGAGTTTCAGAAATAATTATTATTTAACTAGAAATTTAAAAATGGTGTATAAATATTACGCCACTAAAAATTTGAAAATAATAAATAAATATCACGCCGGAAAACTTGAAATCGAAATTAATTGATAAAATAACTTAGTAGATGAATGTGATAAATAAATGTAATTAAATATTTAATATGAGATAGGAATAAATATTAACAATAATATTTGAAAAATATATCCGGCAACTGCATTTTTTTGGCTGGTGGGGGGGTACGTATGCGCCTGAACTGAGCATATGCAATCTGAACGATGTTCATCAATAGTTGAACAATAAGACTATCTTCTGATTTGTTTTGATATGTAAATGTGAGGAGGCACAATATTATCTTCTGAGGCAGTGGATTTATCAATATAATCTGAACTAATATCACTTTATAGGATACATTATATATAAAAATAACGAGTTATTATATAAATCAGTGTTGAAGTAATATATGTACAAAATATTACAATAACAAATTAAATACTTTTAGAAATATTAATTTATAAAATATCCGTTTGGAAAAAATCTTGAAAAACAATGCGAAAAAATAATGTTTTAAGCATATCATTAAAAATGACATAAATACATTTTAAATGTAAAAATTTGAAAAAAAGAAGGATATTAAAAAAAACTATGGCAAATTTTAAATTGGCTACCTTCCTCAGACTTAAACTATTATTTGAAAGAATATTGATTCCCTATAATTATTGCAGTTTCTCGTGATGACATTTTTTTTGAGAGAAAAATTCGTTTAGAGATCATTTTTGTCGTTCCAGAATTCTGATTGAATTTGTAAATCAATTAAATTACCGAGTAGTTAATTTCAGTGGCGTCACTAGGGAGGGGCGAGCAGGGGCTCGAGCCCCCTGAAAAATTGAATAAAGCAAAAAAATTTTTTATATTACTCCTTAATATCCCTTGAACTAAAAATAAATTTATTTGATCGCCCCCTGAACGATTTCTTTTATAATTCTATTAAGTAATATATAGATTTAATTTTATTATTTAAAAATTAATAAGAATACCTAAATATTTATCAAATAAATACTATTTATTTTCACTATGTCAGCTTGCAATCAAATTCTGTATTAAAAATAGAATTTTAATATCACTCACCAAATATTAATTTAGCATTAACAGTTGAATTTGACTTATATTATTTAAATTATTATATAACCCTAATTAAATATATATAACAATTTATTGACAATTAACAAATTTAATATTATAATTAACCGAGTTCAAAATCACTAATCAACTATTATATATAATTGGTTATAAAATATTAGGTAAAATGCCACTTTTACAGACGTATTTGACAGTTATAATATATTACAGTTAATATTTTAATAAATTTTACAAATAAACGCTTTTGATAATAAATATAAGTATCAATTTACTTTTAATTCAATAACGCCATCTATTTATTTAAAAATATTATTAAAAATTAAATATCTTAAAAATCTGCAAAGTTAGGTTCGGCCCATACCCGGCCCAAACGGGCCCGGGCCTAGTATTTTAAAAAAAAATTCGGCCCAGGTCGGGTCTTGGAAATTTTTTTAAATATATGTAAATTTATCAATTTTATATTGAATTTTTTATGTAAAATAAAAATATTTGATTTTATATATTGAAATTTGAGTAATTATAAAAATTAATTTCTTAGGCCCGATGCAGATCACTAAAATATCTTATTATTCACCCCACAATGGATGTAATAAATTAGCTATCTTTTCTTCTCTTTTTTACGTGTTTTTAGGAAAGCTATATTTTATTTGAAAAACAGTTTTGAGTTAATTTTTAATACGAATATATTTTTTATAATATTACAAACTACTATTATTTTAAGATATAATAATATACCAACTAGAAATGGTGCGACAATAATATATAACATATTAATTGCTTTCATCATATCACTCTGGTTCTTATTTTATAGTTACGAAATGTTTCATTTATAATATGGCATAATTGCTGTGTAGATAACTTAAGGCTTCTATATGTTTGCATTATTTCTTCTAAAGATTTTTAGTGTTTTCAATTTATCTAACATAATAAATTCTTATATGAGTTAACATCGTAAGTGTCATAGCTATGACTGCAAATTAATCAGTATCTGTTATTTGTGTTGCTATGTAAGTTAAGGTTTTTACTAACAGCTGCCGAGAGCATATGATTGCATATTTCAGTTAGTGTAATGGTTTATATATCATTAAAAATGGATAATAATCTTATGGAAATTTAATATCTCACAATAATTTTCTCGATTACTTATCTATCTTCCATCATGTCATCTAAGTGGAAGCTCTAGCCATAATATAGTTTTATGATTTAGATTGGTCGTTTATATTCTCTTCTTCAATAATTGTTGATTTTGCTAGGCCTATAAATTTTTCCTTATTATTCCATTCTATAAAACATTGTCTAAAATGGTAACAGAGTTATATTAGTTTAATGACCTTTTGTCAATGTAATTTGCTAAGAATTATATTATATAATGTGGTTTTTAAAAACCATTATTATTTGAGGCATATGTTTTTTTATCACTTGTAATTCTTTAGACGCAAAATTTTTTATATCAGCAATCAAAAATATTTTATATTGTAATAAATAGATTTTGTATTAAAAAATATTATTTTTAGAAATGTCTTATATTGTTTAATTAATTATATGCGAGTTTATTTTATATCCATAATATAATAAACGACAAAATATGAAATTCAGAATAATTGTTCGGAGTTAGCAAATTTAAAATAATAGCCGAAGGCCAGGCAAATTGGGGGGCATGGGGGGCGAAGCCCCCATAATTTTTTTTTTTAGTTGAGCCCCCTGAGATTGTAAGACGCACTTGGTTAATTTGTTGTTATGATTAGAAAAAAATCGCATGTTGTTAATAACAGTTTTTTGCTTAATCCAAGTGACTCCTATTTCATGTCAATAAAAAATCTTGATTTCCTAGATTTTTATAGCACATGTAATGCAAATTAATTAATGGTTTAAATATAAAGGGTGAATATCGTTTATCAAACTGATAAAAAAAATAAGGAAGCAAAATTTAAACAAATAATATTCTAACTTGGTAGGTAGTTCCCCCTCGTTTAACATTCATTAACCACATCAAAGGTGCAGCATTTTTTACCGCTAAATGAAAAATTTTAAGAGGATTGGTTTCAATGACTTCGGAATCACTATCTTTATTTTTATCTTCTAATTGAGCTAAATACAATTCACGTATTTGTTTCCATTTTATCGCTTGAAAGGCCTAAAGAAAATTCAAATATTTATAGTAAAATCATAAGTATACCTTGGCCATCAAATTTTTAGCTAATTTTTTATCAGCTTCCATCATTACCATATTTGTAAATTTACTAATTTATTAAGATTATGATATAATATAACTGTATTTAATAAAAACTTAAGTAAAGGGTCATCGAAAGTAAAGCTCATTAAATCGTTCTTTAAAGCCTTAATTGGCCTATAATTTAAATCTGTTGTGGACTCAATAATATCATTAATTTGATCGAGGCTAGTAGTTGGTTCGGCATAATTGGTGGAATAAACTGTATTTCTATAACATATCAATTGGGGTAATCTTGAAAAATTTCTAAAATAAAATAATTAGGAACATGTGTATTGTGTAGGCATATTATGAGCATTTATATATAACTCGGGAATAAAATAAATTCTTTTGTTTTATATATTTTTTATTTCAAAATTTGTCTCGATTTTGCTATAAAAATTTTAATATAAGCTTTAAGGTTAAGTCCTAGAGTCGGCTTAATACTTAAGCCGGATATTTAGCCGTATTTTAAGTATCGGCTAAATTGCCAAAAGAAGCTATAGAAAAATGTTTTAAAAAACAAAAAATAGGGAATATAATTTGAAAAATAACAGCCACCAAATACTTAAAATAAACCAAATTAGGGTATCCTCGATCAAATTCTCTTTGCCTATACTAAAAATTAATGTTGTTAAACGGCTCGTTTTGAGCCGATTTTTAAAAACGGCTAACTCAATATTTTATCCAGAAGAATATTACGCAAGCCTGAAAATTTTGCTCATAGAAGGAACAAAAGTATAGACATATATTATCGAAATCTCGAGGCTTAGTCGATATTTATCTGGCTAAAATATTGTGTTAGCCGTTTTAAAAAATCGGCTCAAAACGAGCCGTTTAACAACACTACTAAAAATAAATAAATATCCAAATTAAGCCGATCTATGACACGGCCATAATGTTTCTTCTTTTCTTTACAAAATAAAAATATAATGATATCACAAATTTCGTTATTTTGAATAATCGCGCTATATTTTGCAAATCATTTCAAAAGAAATAGAAAACATGAGCAGCAAATGAATATTAAAGGTTTCATTATATGATTTTCCAACCGGTTCGTCATTCGATAATGATTCATTTTTAAAAATATGAATAACAAAATTATTGATTCGAAAAATCAAATTGAATATGAATAAGGAAAAAATATTATTCGTCGAATAACTTTTTATCAATTACTCGATAGAATCATTTGAAATTATTAGTATAATTTGAAATTTTTAGTATTATTCAAAATTTATCGTAAATATTCGACATTAATTGTAGACATTCGAAACTATAAATATTAAAACTTTTTCATAAATATTTTAAATTATTTACATATTCCTTACTAGAGGTGGGCGCGTGTCTAATTTTATTTTCACGGCCCGCCCGCTCACGGTGACATTAAAAAGATTTATGCCCATTCACGTTCAACACTAAAAAATTTTAGACCCGCCCGCTCACGAAAGACAATATTTCAACTCACGCCCGTCATGCCCGAAAATTCACGGTGTTTTTAAATTTTTCAAAACTTATTGCTATAATTTTAAACATATTTGAATTAATTCTATTTATTTCTTTAATTCCATAATCCATATTAATAACAAAAAATAAATACAATTTATAAATCGAAATTTTTATTTAGAAAAAGAAGAATGTCAATGTTTTTTTATTTCAATTGTGTACGCCTTTCCTCTAATACGCGATTGGCTACAGAAAATAATCTTTGAATAGAAGCCGAACTTGCCGGGGCTGACAATATTTTACTCGCTAATTTTCTCAAAAAAAGGAAATGAATTTTCCTGCTTCCAAAACTTCAAAATATTGTCATTGTTATTTGTTTTATGAGCGATGAATCTTTCAAGATCATCCTCACAGCTTTCAATGGAAGATGTTGATGCTTTATCAGAATCATCTAGAAATTCTTCAAATGTTTCATTAGAATATACGGTTTTTTATGATTGTAGGATGAATTAGGAAATCATAAATGATAGTTGGCATTGGCTTATGCATATGATCTAATTTTACATCATTTAACATTTTTAAGGTTGTTTTATATATCTCTCTTCCTTTTCTTCTTCTATTAAAAACTTAAGGCTTTTGAAATTCGGATCTAGAATTAAGCCTACTTTATGTAGTGGCTGCATAATAAATCTTTCTTTTAAAAGAAATCTTATCCTGTTTTTTAAGGTTTTGATTATTATTGTATCACCTTCAGAAGGTTGGCAAAATTTTATATTTATAAATTCTACTCCTTCACTACTCATGCATAACATAAAGCATTTGTTAAAATTAATAAAAAGTAAAAACTTAAATGACTGTTGCAAAGATATTAAAATTTATGATTTAAATGCGAAGAATTACATTATCATAGTAAAATAATATATATAATAATAACAAACTTGAATGTAGATCAACATACACATGTAAATAAGCTTGAGAAATTTGATTTGAACATATAAATTGTTATAATAATTAAAATATTATTCTTTGTATTTGTATTAAATAGTGGTTTATATAAATTTGAATAGTTACGGAAAAGAGTTTTTTTATATCGTTAAATATTAAAATTTGAATAAATGTTAGTAGTATAAAAAATATAGCGATAAAAAGATGTAATAACAAGAAAAAAGAAATTGTTGTAAATTTTAATTTTGCTTTTTTATTTTTGTTATGATTTTAATTACCATTAATATTACTTAATAAAGTATTAGTAGTTAATTTATTTATGCTATTTATTTGTATTCTCTAAATTCTCAACTACAACATTTGTTGCCGAAACCCGTATGTACTATAATGCGCCTATACCTTCAGTCTATAACTCTGAAAAGAAATACTAAATAAAGGGGGAAGGGGATGTATGAAATGACCATCGACACGATAAAGAATGAGAGCAAAGAAACAATGGTATCAATATCCATACAAATGGTCGTAGTTCGAAAAAGTATAGAATTAGTCTGTTTAGTTTCAAGAGATCGTGATAATTAAATAGAATTAGTCACAAGAGATCGTTATACGTACAAGTGATCTATGTAGCTAAAAGAAATTCGTTATCTTTATTAAAGATATACGTTTAATGGTGAATTAATTTGATAATATTTAGCAAAATATTAGGTTATTGATTAACCAAAATCTTCATAAAGAGAAACGGCTTTCATCATTAGAAAATTCATGCCGAAATCGAGCTCGTTTAGAGATCGGTTTATTTGGGATCATTTAAGATACAAGAAATCGTTATCGTATAAGAGATCTTTATTACAAGAAATGATTATTGTTACAAGAGATTGGTATCAGTAGGATCATGACAACAGGTAGTATCGTTACAAAAGAGCGTTATCGTTATAAGGAATATTTATCGTAGACATGATGAGACAAAAGAGATGCTTTCGCGAAATATGGGATAACTCAATATTCAAACTGTAATCGGACTCGAACGGTTTTTAGAAATAAGAATACAAGCAAAAGACAGCTGTAGTTATAAATTAGAATAAATTAAAGATTAAAAAGAATAGATTTGGTGGAGATACAAGATGAGGTCGAAATCGAAAGATAATTGTTCATTGGCAGAAGGGTGGATCCAACGTAAGAGGAAGGGTGTTATAATAATTAGAATATTATTATTTGTATTAAATGGTGGTTTATATAAATATGAATAGTTACGGAAAATAGTTTTTTTATATATAAAGTTAAATATTAAAATTTGAATAAATGTTAGTAGTATAAATATAGCGGCAAAAAGATATAATATCAAGAAGAAAGAAATTGTTGTAAATTTTTATTTTGTTATAATTCATTTAATTACCATTAATAATAAAGTATTAGTAGTTAATTTATTTATGCTATTTATTTGTATTCTCTAAATGTTTAACAAAATTTAGTAAAAAATATCGTGGCAAAACACCTAATCATAAAAAGAAAGTAGAACTAGCGGCATGATACCGGATGTTGTTTATAAAATGCGGAAGATTTTTTGTTTTCAAAAATTATTATTTTTTAAAAAGAACTAAATTATAATTTAAAATTTATTCACACTCACGCCATGACCCACTGTGACACGATGGGTTACGCATAGATTCATGGCCCGCGCCCACCTCTATTCCTTACGGAATACTTTATCTTTTTATTTAATTTCCATATCTATAAATATATTTAAATTTAAAAAATCGAATTTTTCCAGAGTTTGGAAAAATCCTTGAAGATTTTTTAAAGAGAGATTTTTGATTAAATTTTACCTAAAATTCCATATATGTTTAGTAAGAAATAATCATTTATACCTTTTGTGCATAGAAATCTTTCAAGATGAAATTATAATTTCTTTTTACAGAAATATTTAAAGATTTATTCATCATTTTTGAAAATATTTTTAAAGAATTTAATTTTCGAATGGAATATTCGACGAATCAAATCGAATAATATTTTCATTACGTACGAATACGAATAATATAATTGCTCGATCGAAAATACGAATAATATAATTGTTCGATTCGAAAATACGAATGGAATATGAACAGTGCGAATATTAGGTTCGATTCATATTTTTGTAGGTTCAAAAGTAACTTTTTAATTTTTCAACTTTAGACTAGCTAGCGTGCACCCAGAGTCAAAATTTAATTTTAAAATAAATTCATTTATTATTGAAATTTACGAAATTATGTTTGGACGCATAAATGTATAATGCAAGAATCATTTTTTGAAGGATGCGCTCAATTCTAAATGATTTCAATTTTATCATATATAAAAATATTGGGTAATTTAATATCTTGAAATAAAATTTTAATTAAATGTGACCTGGGGCTTTTGGCGAGATGCTAATTTAAAAAATTAAAATACAAATAATATTAATAAACTATTCAGTTTCTTTTTTAAGGTTCGCAAAACTGATTGAGGAATTAATAGGCACTAGTCAGGCAAAAATATTAGTGCAGACCAGATATTTAATTCATTTATTTTCCATTCTGACATGATGCTAATTTGTTCTTATTTTCTAAGAACTTTTTCTTTATATTATTTACCAAAAGGATAATAATATTACATTGATAAATAAATACTTTCAATTAGAGATCTGCAAAGTTAAGCCCGGCCCGTACCCGGCTCGAACGGGCTTCGGGCCGGGCTTAATTTTTTTAAAATAATCGGGTTTGGGCCGGGCCGAGTCTAATATTTTAAAAAAAAATTTCAGGCCGTGTCGGGTCGGACCTTGGAATTTTTTTTAAATATATCTAAATTAATCAATTTTATATTGAATTTTTTACGTAAAATAAAATATTTGATTTTATTTATTGAAACTAAACGACATATAACATATGTCTTTTATTTTGAGTAATTATAAAAATTAATTCCTCTATTTAAATAAATTCGGGCTGGGCCAGGCTAGGCTTGAAAAATTAGGCCCGATGCAGCACTACTTTCAAGAGCTTTTTAAATGTAAGGTTAGCCAAAATTGTGTTGCCAATAATTTTTTCCTTAATACTGGCTGTTATATTGGTTAAAGCACTCATAGACATTAAAAAAGCATGAAGCATTGGCATAGATTTTAGAATTGTGCTTCCAATTGTCCAGTAAACTTTAACAGATAAATGATATAAAGATATTGCATATTTAAAAAAAATAAATAATACCTAATTAGAATTATGCCTAATTTTTCAGGCCCAGCCCGAACTTTTTTTAAAAAAGATTTGCCGGCTCGGCCCAAACTTGAAATATTTTTTAAAAAAAATTTGCCAGCCCGACCTGGCCCGAATTTATCTAAATATAGAAATTCATTTTTATAAAATAAAAGATATATGTTATATGGCATCTAGTTTCTATAAATAAAATCAAATATTTTAATTTTACACAAAAAATTCAACATAAAATTGATAAATTTAGATATATTTAACAAAAATTTCAAGGCTCAACCCGGCCCGAATTTTTTTTAAAAAATATTAGGCCTGACACAGCCCAAACCCAATTTTTATTTAAAAAAAACCAGCCCAAAGCTCGTTTGGGCCAAGCCTACTTTTGCATATCTCTAATTAGATAATTTAATAAGGTCAATCAAAGAAAAGAATAGCCCCTAAAAAATTGTTTGTATTCCCCCACCTGTATAAATATTGGCAATGCCACTGGTCCAAGATTTATAATTTGAATGGGTAGAGACAAAACATTAATATCTTACCTTAACAAATATCTGGCAACATATTAATGTGATCTGTACAACATTGCAATTCACAAAAATTAATATTTATAAAATTTAATATTATGATTACTCCGAAAAAAACTTTTAAAGTTGGCCATTAAAATTGTTTAATAAATTTTAGCAGTTAAGTATTCCCAGGCTTAATAATTATAGGTATATCCAAGATATTGGTAAAGAAGGGCTTTGGGGTAGTTTTTTTCTCCAAAAATTTTATTAGATATTTTTAGGCTCCTTCTTTAAAGAGATTTGACCATATCATTTATAATAATTTGGTTTTACACTTTTATTCCTTCTTTGATAATAAAGTTTATAATAATGTATTATATACATTTTTAAGGAGAAAGGGGTAGGGAAATATAAAGGAGACTTTCTAATAGTTTAAAAATTCATTTTATAAAATTGATATTTCATCATACTTTTTATACAAATCAGAGGCCTATAAGTCCAAAAATGTTATAACCTTAAAATCAGGCCAGGCTAAGCAAAAAACATTTATCCAGAAAGATAGTCAAAAAATTTTGACCTATGCTAGTCTCACAAATAAAGCTCATATTTATAATAATTTTCATAAATCTTATATCAAATTTATGTTTAAATAAGAAACAAACTACATTTAAATTGATCTTCATATAATTAAGTAAGTAAAAGATTGAACCCAATTAGTTAAATTAACATCAAATAAAAATTAAAGGCATGTCCTCCTAGCTCAATTTAATTTTTTTTTATTCTATTCAGAACAGTTGCCTGGACCAAAAGGGTTAGAAAATGATTTAGATGTCCTGATTTAACTTAATTTTGATATAATGCTGTACAGCTTATGCTAAAGCTTATTAACTTAATCACACTATTTTGGTTTATTTAAAGTATTGTTATTTTTTACTTTTTAGACTATTTAGTTGAAGCTACAGGCTAAATAGCCAGCTTAGTAATAAGTCAAAATAACCTGATACCTTTAAAATATGCTTAAAAGTTTACTTAATCCCTAAAACCACTATATGGAACAATACAAGCTAGGACTGTTGTTAAAATGCCCGATTAGGAACCAAAAAACCTGAAGATTTTATTTAGACCACAGAAAGGTTTGGACATTATTTGCCAAATCTCGAGGCTTATATAATAATAATTATGGCTTAAATCTTAATTGGAGTCTCTAAAAATCGACCCAAATCGGGCTTTTTACCTATACAACTAGGACAAAGCTTAAAGAATTTAAATTAAATAATCTATTAGTCAAAATGATACTTGATTGTTTTAATAATTTGCATTATTTAAATATCAAAGTAATGTACTTAAATCAAAAAATTGACATATGTTACGTGACAAGGTAACACATTGGTATGGCAAATTGTCATTTATAATAAATAGCACAAATCTTATCTGGGAACTAGGTCTTTGAGTTACAACATAGTTTAACTGAGTCAATACAATATTTCATTGATCAAATATGTATACAATTTCTATATTATATGATACAACAAAATCAGAGTTGTTAAAGGAAGAATCAAAAGATCGCCGATCCGATCCTAAATTTGTCAATTTTCTCAGATTTAAGATCCTGACCTTAAATTGTGGATCGTGCGTGATCGATATCATTTTTTTGAATATTCGATCCCGATCCTTTTAAAAATTATTTTATTTATTTAAAAAGCAATAGATAAAATAGAAATTTTGAAAATTAAATTAAAATATTATTTAAAAAAAAATATCTATCTACATCATATTTTATCAACCACCATTCCACGAGATTTTATATTTCAACAATTTACCAATTTTTTTGTACGAATAAGTTATGTTTATTTATTAATTTTATTATAATATAAATAAATTCTAGGTTTTAATAATGTCCTCAATTATAGATTTAGAAGATCTTCTATTGATGTGACAGCAGATATAAGTGAGAATGAGAATTTTTTAGTATTTCATAACATAAGTATTTCACTTTATGTGAAACGGATGGAAGTAACCATACAATGAACTATGCAAAATGCTCTTTATGCAAAAACAAAATATCTTCTTCAAAGATGAGCACTTCAAACCTAAAGAGGCATTTAGAAGTAAATAATTCTTTTAAAAATTCAATTTTTATTATATGTTAAGATCATAACAATATGCTTATTAAAAAATTATTTATAATAATTAATAAAATATTTATTGATGTGTTAATCTTAATTATAATAATCAGGAATTTTAATATTATTATTATTAATATTAGCTTATTCTTAGCATTGATATGAAAGGGAGATAAGTATTTTTAATGGGAGTTGAAATTAATTTTCAGTATTTAAAACCCTTCAACCACATATAAATAATATACTTAACTTAATATATTTAACAAAATTTGTGTAACCCTTTATTCATAATTAAATGCTAAAAAAAACCTCATTTATTCATATCATAGGAAAATATTTTTTCAAAATCTCTTGCCCATATTATCTTGGGCAGCTTTAAATGATAGACAATTGTAACTTAAATTTTTAAGATAACCTATATGACCCTTTTAACCATATGTAAATAATATAAATTTATGTTGAACCATTAATTCATAAGTTCTTAAATACCTAAAAAGCTTCAGTATTATTCATATGATGGGAAAATATTTTCTCACAGCTTTTAATAATGGTAGAAGAAAATATTGTAAACTTGAATTTTTAAGATAACCTATATGACCCTTTTAACCACTTATAAATAATAATACCTTAATATAATATGTTTAACAAAATTTGTTTTGAATCCTTTATTCATAAGTTCTTAAATGCCAAAAAGGCCTCAATATATTCATATCATAGGAAAATATATTCTCAAAATCTTTTGCCCCTATCATAGGAAACTTTTAATAATGGTAGAAAATATTGTAAACTTGAATTTTTAAGATAACCTATATGACCTTTTTAACCACATATAAATAATATACTTAATCATATATAATAAAATTTGTTTTAAACCCTTTATCATTTTTTTTGTTTATACAGGTTTTACATTCAGTCTGTACATTGTTTTTTTTTAACTTATATTTAAAAAAAATTTCCATCTAAAATTTTAAAAATATGATTTGATTCAGGGGAAGTTATATTCATCCAACTCTGTTACATAATATGTTTTTATTTTATAAAGAGAAAGCACAGTGAATTCAAAAATGAGATTGCCACACACTTAAATGAAGTCTCTACACAAACAAATAAGTCTCTACAAAATCAAAGTGTCCCTGGTTGCAGATCCAGATAAACCAAATTCAATTTTAGTAATCTTTACATGCCATCAAAAAACAGCAGACAAAATTATAATGGAGTTTTTTATTGACACCTTTCAACCACTTTCACTGGTTGATGATCCTTCATTCCAGAAAATGATTAAAAAATTTTCTCCAACGACAAAATTTATATGTCGTCAAACTCTGGGCAACAAAATATCTACTGCCTTTACAGATATGACAACAAATCTTATAAGAGATTTGTCTGAAGTCTCCTATGTATGCACCACTGCTGATTGTTGAAGTGGTCATCGAAGATATATTATATTTGTGTGAATATTATAATATTTTATTTTAGGGCTTTTATTGGAGTTACTGTCCATTGGCTGGACCCATTAACCCTCAAGAAAAGATCAGCAGCTTTGGCACTGAGGCGTATAATTGGAAAGCAAACATATGATGTTTTGGCTAAGGAAATTATGGATATCCACAAGACTTATAAAATTCATAATAAGGTGGTGAAGATGGTGACCGATAATGGAACCAACTTTGTAAAGGCATTCAAGAAATATTTATATTTAACAAAAAAATTTATTTAAAATTTTATTTTTATTTTATCAAGAGTGTTTGGAGAAATGAAGAAGATAGTGAGGATATGGAATTAATAATATTGGATGACATATTATCTGTTGATGACTCAAATAATCCTACTATCAGCCTACCAAAACATCAACGTTGTTGTTGCCATAATCTGAACCTTATTGCAACCAAAGACGTTGAGAAATCAGAAAAGGATATTAATTATAAGCGAATATCAAGAACAACATTTGCTAAATGATTTGCCTTAATTAACAAACAAAATATTTCCCCCAAAATGGTTAATATTCTATTGCAGAAATTGCGAAAATATCTAATAGCTCCCAATAAGACCAGATGGAACTCCTATTTTCAGTCAATGAAATTAATGGACAAGATGCTCTCTAAAAAGTTTTCAGAAGTAGAAAGTTTGTGATCAAATTTCACAATGTTTAGGCAAAGAAGAATGTTTCTTTGTCAAAGAATATACTTCAGTAGAACCCTTGGCTACATCATTAAAGATCTTGGAACGGGAGGATAACATGGAGCAGAGTTATCTAACTCCAATTCTAACTATACTTATAGAAAAATTAAAGAAATTTAGCTGCCTGCAATATTGTAAGCCCCTTGTAGAGTGTGTTCTTAGAGGTATTGATAAAAGGTAATAAATTTTTATCCAATTTTTTAAATTTTTATCCAATTTTTTAAATTTTTATCCAATTTTTTCATAAATTTATTAAAAAATTGGCATGATCTATTTAGTAAAATATTTTTAGCAGGTCTGGTCTACTAAGACTCTGATATCTGGTAAAATTTTAATGGGCCATAGGCATTAAGAATTATTAAATTTAATCAATATTATACAGATGATTGGTCAGGCCTGACTATAAAATTTGAAAGGGCTAACTTTTGCAGATACCTGATTTATATGAATGAACACTTATTTAATAATAAATTAATTATCATTTTAATATAGATTTCTTTCACTAGATGACAGTAATATATTGGCATTAATTATTCACCCAAAGTATAAGCTCAATTGGCCTTTTATTAATCTGCCACAAAATTTATTGCTAAAAGAAAGGTTAATTGCCCATTTAGAAAATATATAGGGTCAACCACATGCAGATCCTTCAAATGTATGCATGGATGAAATTGATACTTTTTTTGGGAAAAACTCGTCGCAAAATGCTTTTTCCATTAATAATTTTTTTTATTCTAATGATGATTTTGTGAATATTTTTAATAATTATGTTAATTTTAAAAAAACATTTATTGAATATAACACACCTTTACCATCAAGCGCTCTTTAGAAAATTTTTTATTATTAAAGGCTAATTTTAATTATAAATAAATATATTCTAATTGTTATATTTATATTATATAATTCAATTACAATAAATTTATACCATATTTAATTAACTTTTATATTAGTTAATTTCGCATCGATCAGAAATTTAAATTAGAAAAGGATCGATCCTATTTTTTTCAAAAGATCGTAATCGAGATTCTATCTTTTTAAAAGGATCGATTAACAAGCTTGATACTAATCAGATGACATTTTAACAATTCCCCTTAATTCGCTTTATTTAAATGTTTAAAAGTGTGCGCACAATACATTATAATGATACCTTTCGTAGACAGGTTATAATTCTTAATATTGACTGCAGAGGCTTGAATAAGCAAAATTGTATTTGCTAGAGGCTTAAATAAATAAAATTGTATTTGCCAATTTTTAGAAAAATTAATAAAAACGAAGTTTATAATGTTTCACTAAAATAAGATTTTAAGAATGCTCTAAGAATTTTTGATCAAATGTTTTCTAAAATTTTAAATCATTTTTGTAAAACTTTGTGATCACATGTAATAATATCGTTTTTCTCTTTTTTAACATATTTTTTAGAGTATTTGATCGTATACCAGGTTAAGTACCCCTCCGGTCAATTGATTGAATTTGACCGGTTAATTGACGACTTACCAACCCTGCCCTAAGATATAAATATACGCCCAATAGTTATTTGATTGTGGGGCATTTCCTAGTTTTGAATTCTAACTTTTTTTAATACTATCTTGAATTGTTGAAACTCGTTTTGTTTTTTTGAATTTCTCACCAATTTTCTCTTCCGCTGGAAAATTTGAAGTGATAGAACTGTATTGTATGGGTTGAATCAGGCAAATATTTTTTATTTTAATCATATTTATTTACAGATTTTATGAACATTATATCTCAATATTGATAGTAATTATAACTTACACCAAAGAAATTAAACTTAAAATCAGCCATCACCCACCCTTAAAGTAATTAAATTATACTGTAGTTCACGGGTATAGGCTCTTTTTTTGCCCCACTCTATTTTAATAAGCCTATAGAGGTTTTGTGCCTACAAGTACGTGCGGCTTGCCCACAAACGTTTAGAGGGCTCCTCATATTTTTACTTTTATTACAAATTAAATTATTCCAATTAGATGGAAATGAGGAAAATCTAGCGTATCTCTGTTGAACCTTCAACGCTAGAGGACAGAGGCGCTATATATCACGTATCACATAATACTATCTTACTTATTTTAGAATGATAATTTAATTAGTAGGTTTTATGTTAATAATAAAAAAAATTTGTTGTAAATTTTTTTTAGATTGTCAAAAAATTTTAATAAAATTTTTTAGATATAAGTTAATTTTTGGGAACACAATTATGAAATTGTATTTTATTTTTATAGTGTTTTGATCAGGGTTGTTCATTTGACTGGTCATATACGTTTCGGTCAATTGACCGATATTTGACAGGTCAAATTAAAATGTTTTTTTAAATATTAACTTTATTACAATGACATATATAAGTCATTGCTTAATTATGAATATAATAATAAAATGAATCTATGATATTAATTTTTTAAATTCATAGTCATTCTATAACTAACGTTTAGCTCTCTGTAGCAGTCTTGTTCTGATTAATATTCAATATTATCACTTTTTTAATCAATTTTTCTGATGTCGAGATTTTTCGATTTTCATAAGAATATTAACCCAAATCGACTTATCTTTCTAAAGAATAAGTAAAACTAGGAATCGTTAGTCTCTTAATGGGCATGGTGGCACAGTTTAATCTATTAACTTGAGGTCGGAATTTATTGTTTCTTATGGAAATTACCGTTTTCCATATAATTTGCTATTAAACATGCTGCTTTTGCTTAGGAAATTAATTATATCACTTAAAATATTTTGATCATCACCACCTTGTAAAATGGCTAATTCTTGAATTATATCATATACTTCATAGAATTCACTACTAGTGATATGCTCCACTTGATATTAGGGACCCAAAAAATATGCAACATTGTGATCACATGTATTTATATCGTTTCTTTCTAGAATTTTTTAATTGGCTGAATTTTACCGGTCACTTGCCAACCCTGAATAAAGTTGAATACCATTGAAGTAAAGTGCTTCCTTGTTTTGAAAATCGCAATAATAACTTGCTAATTTTAAATTAAATATAATATTAATTATAAATATGAAAATTAATTTTTAAAATGTGGAAAAATCGAAATTAGACTAGGAAATTTGGTTTATGTTCTTTCGTTTTTAATCTATCAAAATATAAAGATCAAATTATTATTTATTTAAACGGGTAACGAGTAATGGTAACGCTTTCCTTTTTTATACGTAACGAGTAACGGTCGCGTTTCTTTTTTGTAGTAACGTTTACAGCACTAATAGAGCAATTAAAATTGAAATACTCGTCATGTAATTTTTAATTTTTAGAATATAAGATAACAATTTTTTAAAAAGGAATCTAATATTATTAAACATGATTATTTCTTTGCTATTATTATTCGTCCTCTATGCATAAAAATATGATTGAGCAAAATATCACAATAAAATAATATAAGTTGGTGCAGAGGTCTGTGGATCTGGTCTATCAGATCGACCCATTTGGTTGGGTTAGTTCTGGTTCATTTTTTCAACCAAAAACCAAGGTCGTGGTAATGTAAAACAAACTAATTAACCACACTACTAGCTACAGATAATATATCAGAGGCCTGCAGTGGGTAAATGGCAATATAACCTTAAATTTTTTTTAAAATCTGGCCGGGCTGTGCAAATGGTACCTCTGCAAATCTCTCATGTTTAGCTTCCCTATCTTTTAAAATAAACAGATTTTTTTAAACATTACATATAAATTTCCTTTTTAAATTTTTTATTATAATAAAATATACTCATTCAATAATTATATAAGCACTCATAATATAACTAAAGACAATGAAAATAGGTCAATTCTTTAAAAATATCGCTCAGATCTGATATTTTTTTAAACGCGAAATATCGATCCTTTTAGATACTTAAGCCACACCGCACCCTGTTTTGTTTTACATGATAGCAGAATCCTAAAAAAATTTCTATTTAAACTCAAACGAACCTCTAAAAAGGTGTGTAAACAGGTTTGAATATTTTTATATCCCAACTTTTTAACGATAATTAAATCAGCTTTGACTGTTAAGCACCACTAACTATTTTTGTTAGGTCCCTCGGCATAATTAAAAATATATATATGTCCTTACATATTCTAAAACGGTTCTAACCTGTTTTTAAAGGTTCAAACCAACCGATATTATTTTTTAGCGAACAGAACCTGTATCGTAATTTTTATATGAACCTAAGCCGATATTCGTTAGGGTTCAGATTCCAGGTAACAGTAATTTTATTTGAGGAGAATAAATAAAGCCTATTATTCACAATATATTAATTGATTTTAAAATTACATTTTTAATAACAAATTTACCCAGAGTTTTAAATAAAACGCTATTTTATTAAATTAAATAATTTTTATGAATTTAAATAATTTTTTATACAAATATAAAAGATAACATTCATGGTGGTAATATGTCGAATAAATTACAAGGTCATATATTCAATTCAGATAATACACGTATTAAATTTTAGGTATTATATAAAAAAAACAATGCTAAGAAACAATAAAAATTAATAAATAAATATACATGATTTAATTTTATCTTTAAATGGGTCTAAATATTAAAATTAAATATTATATTGTACAATTTGTTTAAAACGTAATTGGAGGCTATTTTAAATCAACAAGATATTTAGAAAAATATATTAATTTCTTATATTTTTTTTATAAATGCCATTCTTAAGCTTTTCGTAGTTTAAATTTTAGTTATTTCAATTAAAAAAATTCGTAATACTGGTCAAAATAGAAGTTTTGCTATATTTTTAACCATATGGTTCCTTCTGTAGGTGTTTATCTAAGGATTATGACTAGAGAAAAAGAAAAGATATTTTTACTCTTCAAAAATATCATTATAATATAATTATCAATTATGTCAAAAAGGTGTCTTCACAATTAATGCTGGTTGTGGTCAATATCCTATCAAAAACAACCGTTTAAAAATTAACCCTAATAAAATTTATTGTTAATCAAGTGTCAATCGATTGAGAACTAAGTGGAGATAAAGTGTAGGATCTTTGTGAATCATGATCGGAGGAAATGTCGTCCTTCATTCTGTTTTTAGGCGGGCGAAGTGGATGGGTCAACCTTTTACGTCTTTTGGAGGGTATATCGGATCGAGTCTCATGGTTGTGATAAGTTGCTTGTTCATTATCGCAGATAGCGGCATTTTTAAGAACGTTAATGATACGGAGCAAGCACTGGCCAAATTCTTTGGTTACGACCCGTTCCAACGAGTGGTATTTCATGGAAGGAGACTCTGAGAGGGCCTCATGGGCTTGGGCTAACATGCACGTGCCTATTGCCTCTATTATCTCATCCGTTATTATGCGGGATGGGAAGAAAAGGGTACTGTTTTTGTTAAAATACAATTATGTAAAGTTGCAGTATTATCATCTTTAATAAAACTACATTTTAAATATGTTAAATTAAATACAATTTTAATATTAATTTGAGACAAAAGGTTGATAAAAAAGTTAGATATTAAGGTATCAAATTGTCTATTTAAGTGAACTAATTATAATTTTAAAAATAAATATATCTTATAAATATAAATCAAAATAATACCTTTTTTCATATTCATTTGTAAAAAGTGGATATGAATTTAATTGCTTGAAGTCAGCATTATTTTTATCACTTAAGCTAATATTTTTAACATCGTTATTGTAGGTCAGTCCAGTGGCAATTTCATTCAATAATAAACTTGTCATATTGAGTTTAGAATCATTTTCGATTACATTATCTAAGCTATTTTTTTTGTAATCGTTTTTAATCTTATTCATGGGCGAAAATAAATTAAATCCTTTGCCAAGATCATCACTGGAGTTGGAGATTATTTTATTATAGGAATCCTGATTTAATAATGATAAATTGCGATGCGAAGTAGTCATTCGGTTATTGGAATATAACCACTTACTGTTATTGTTTCCAATAGTATGGTAAGAGTTTGAAGTATTACTATTCAAATTATTATCATATGATTGATCCATCTGATAGTTAGAACCACCAACAATATTAGAATTATGAAAATGAGTTTTATTGTTGATCAGGTAATGTGGTAACATTATAGATCTACGTTCAGTGCTATCTTCAAAATTTTTACAGCCAACGCATTTGCACATGCTTGAACAAGTTATTTTAGCCTGATTATACATAATAAACATTTATATATTAATTATATATTTAATACAAAACATTCAAATTAATTGGAGCTTATGCATAATCGTGTTTATGATAAATATTTTTTTTAAATTATCTTATATCCCATCATAATTTGTAGGTATCTCAATCCAACATATTTATAAAAAAATAGTATTAATTATGTTTCTTAATACTAAACAAAATTTAGAGTCAATATGGATTATTTTTTAAGAGTAGAAAATAGCAGAAAAACACAAGAATTTAGTTATTTTGTAAAGTATAAGATTTGCAAAGACAGGATATTTTGACAAAAATTTAAAGGATGACATATCTATATTAGCTTAGCATAATTCATAATTCTTTTATAAAACAAAAAAATAGATAATAGTAGAGAATAAAAATATGATGATATTGTAAAGTATTTTAAGAGTTAAAGACAGGATATTTTGACAAAGATTTTTTTATTTAAATCAAGTTATAATGTTAAAAATATTTTGTATATAAGAAAGAAAATCCCCTAGAAAAAGGTATTAATTTAATAAAACATACGTTTATTTTAATATAAAACCTGTTTTTTTGTGAAATTTATAATTACATCATTATTAAAGCTATATTGGATTGATTAAAAAATACTTTAACATATATAATTCAATATTTCCCCATTTTATTCTAAAATACATTATAATTGAAAAATAATTTTATAAATCTAGAATTAAAAGTGAAATTTATATAAACTAGAAATTAAAATTCATATAAACTGTCTAAAAGAATTTTCTTGTATCAAAATATTAATATTTATATAAATAAGGGCAAATTTAAACAATTATAAAGATTATTTATTTAAATTTAAACAATAATATTAAAAAATTTAATTCCAGATTAACAAGATCATTTTTTAATAAAATTACGCAATTAAATATGCAAAATAATAGTAAATTCTATCTTAACATTTCTATTATTGGTCAAGTCATATATACTATATATTAGAGATCTGCAAAGCCTGGCTAGATGCTTAGCCTTGAAATTTTTTTATTTGGGCCAGGCATTTGATGACTGGAATTTTATTTAAAAAATTTACCCGCCCATTAATCTATAAATTTTCTTTAACCCTCATGCACGTCTAAAATAGTTTAAAGCTGGTCCGGCTCTTTATTTATTTATTTTAAATTAAACATATATAATCTGCAATATTATGAAATAAAACTGTTATTTTTAATAAATTGAAGTCTGTTCCACTCACTTTGCCTGAAAAATATTAAAATCCACCCGCCCATTACTTAAATTTTTTTTAACCAGCCCAATGTTGAAAATTTTTAGAAAACCCGTCCGTTTGAAGTATTGGCGGGCGGAATAAAACCCTTTTAAATGCAGACCTCTAATTCTAGCATAGTGTTTTTAATTTAACAACTATCCAATATTATAAATAATTATTTATTTAGGTTCTTAACACATATTTCAGTTTCGGCCTTGTATTATAAAAAAAATTAAACCAGGTCAGACGGGATGAGCAGCCTTAATTTGAAACTGAGAAAGGCTAAAATTTGGCTGGACCTGGGAAAGGGTAAATTTTTACTGGGTCAGGCTAGAGATTTATTTCATTTGAAGACCTCAAAAGTTGGGTAATGGCTAAATGTCAGATAATTCGATTCAATATCCAGGCGCCTGAAGGAAGAAATTTATTAACATTTAGGCGTTTTAATTTATATTAGTTTCTTTCACATTTGAGCTGTTAACTTTTTGAGAAAAAACCTTAAGCCAAAGTGATAGAAAACTTTGTTTAGCCGGCTAGCTAAAAATATAGTAATTATCCAACTATACTGATATTCAGTCTCAGAACCTAGCTATAGGGTAGAATAGGTTTTACTTTCTATAATAATATAATTACCTTTATTGTAAATAAAATTTCAATAAATCAAAAGGAATGACAATTTTTTTTAAGGATTAAAAATGAATGATTGTGAATTAAAAAAATATGTAATGCATACTTCATAGCATTCACAATAATTTTTAAGACATCCAGATCTTCTACAATTACAACCTTTACAATGTTTCCTTTCAATATCGCCATCCCTGCTTTTCCCTAATTAGAAATGAAAACAAATATAATATAATTAGAATTAAGAATAATATGGGTACTTAATTATTGAAAGTGCTCAATCCTGGTAACTTGAGCGAAATTTTAGTCCCTTATCCATAATTTGGAACATGGAATTCAGGTTCTAATTCCAAAATTTGATAATATGCAATTAAAACAATTTGAATAAATTTAATCACTAAATTAACCCTCTAAAAATGAATCTATCACATAACATTTTGCTCTATATATAAAATTAATTCCACTATTGTTAAAGCAGTTTCGGATTCTTGAAAATAGGATATGTTACATAATTCTGCTCATATATCATATTTTTGATGTCAGAAATCAAGGTAGGAAAAATGAGGCCTAGGTCGGCCGTCATCTTAATGATTTACAAAAAAATATAATATAAACTACCCAATTACCTTTTATATCAAAATAAAGGACATGCCTTTTTTAAAAAAAAAAATTAAGGGGTAATTCCATACCAAATCGATAACTTTTCGGCCCGACCTTTTTAATTTCGATAAAATTTTGTATGCTGAGAGAATATCATTTGAAAGCATCGAATCCAAAATTTTAGCTTCCTATTACTCATAGTTCCAGAGATATCAATGGTCAAAAGTGCCAAAAATGACCTTTTTCGGAAAATACGATTTTTTGAAATTGAGATGAGTTAAAAAATAATGATTTTAAAAATATAAGTTATATGTCATTTTGTAACTCTATTAAAGGCCTTTTATTAAATATTAAAGATTTTTTTGAAATAATATTGTTGCGATTTTTATTTACGTTATAAATTTTAAACATAAAAATTCCAGATGTTTCGCTTTCCAAATTTTTCTGAATTTAATATTTTCTTATTCTCTAACCTTATATCTATTCATAAAAAAAATTTAAACTTGGGACAGCCATGGGTTTTTTAATTATTACGATTTAAAAATCAAAAAATAAATATTTTTTTCAAAAATAGATGGCGCTCCTTTATAAAATAACGTATTTTGTTATAATTATTATTTTTTTAAACTTTTTTTCACTTTTAAAAATAAATAATAAGATTTTCCATCATTACTATCAGGAAAAAATATATAGATCGTTTGATAGGCTTACTTATTATTAGAGATTTGCAAAGTTAGGCCCGGTCAGGACGGGCCTAATTCTATTTAAAATAATCGGGTTCGGGCCGGGCTAATATTTTGAAAAAAATTTGGGCTGGGTCGGGTCGGATTTTGGAAACATTTTTAAATATATATAAATTAATCAATTTTATATTTAATTTTTTATGTAAAATAAAAATATTTGATTTTATTTATTGAAACTAAACGACATATAACATATGTCTTTTATTTTGAGTAATTATAAAAATTAATTCCTATATTTAAATAAATTCGGGCCGGGCCGGCGAAACTTTTTTTTAAAAAATTTCGGGCCGGGCCGGGCTTGAAAAATTAGGCTCGATGCAGATCACTACTTATTATTGCTATATTGATAACTTGTAGAAATTAGTTTTTATAATAAATGATTAAATTACCTAAAAAGATAGTTAAGATTCCGATATCTCATACAAGAAAATATAATAATTAATTGTTGAAAGATAAAAGCTAGTTTTCATGTACCTGCCCTAATATTAATTAATTTTTATTTTACAAATAATTTGATATTAATTATTTTTCTTCCTAAAATTATTTATAATGTATAAATATAAATGCGTAAATCCTTTTAAAGAATTAAACACTTTAATTATAAAAAGAACCTGCGCAAAGTCATGACGTGGATGACACAATATTACATTGAGGCGGAACATTATATTTGTGATAAATGCCGAAAAGGTCGAAAATATAAATTCTGATAGTGATTATGTAAATAACAGCATCAACATCAATAGATAAAATCAATATAACTTTAAATGAAATAGGAATATCTCCTATTAAGAAAAAAAAACTAACCGAAAAAAATTATCCAAAAAAAAGCAGCAAAAATAACAAAAGCGATTACATATAATAATTAACAATCCAGATTCGGATACGAAAGATAATAATGATATACTCAATAACATGAAATTACAATATCCCAATTTATCTAAAATAAAAAATATCAATTGCTGACCATTCTGCCTCCTAATTGGAGCGTAAATAAAATAAAAACGACATTCAACGCTACATATCATATGACACATAATTCCAAAATCATTTTAGAAGAAAAGGGGAGTCTTTCAACTCCAAATCGAAAGCCTGCAAAATATCTCAATCAAAAAACAGTTGATATTGTTTAAAAAAAATTTTCGCATTGATAAAGTTAGTAGATATTACCAGGAAAAAAAGATTGAATATCTATCATTGAAAAGGGGGAACGAGTGAACGCTCAAAAAAGGTTAGTTCTTAATAATTTGAAAGAATTATATAATCATTTTAAGGCGAGTAATTCAAACTTAACAATTGGATTTTCGAAATTTGCTAGCTTAAGACCAAAAAATTGTTATTAGCAGGGGCTAGCGGAACACATAGTGTATGCGTTTGTAGCATACATCAGAATTTTAAACTTATGATTTTAAGCTGTGAATTAGCAACATTGCCTAAAAATGTTGAGGATACATTAACAACTTATAGAGATGTTATAGGCAGAATGATTTGCAATCCCCCGTTACCCACCTGTTATTTTGGTGACTGCAACGAATGTCAATATATCCACGTGAAGATATTTGATTGAGGATCTGATAATCGATGAGATTAGAGGATATGTAACATGTGCATATGAAAACGATTGGTGGTTAGGATTTGTACAAGAAGTGAATGTAATTAGAGATAAAGTAAAAAATAATTTTCTTCACCCTAAAGGACCAGCAAATTCTTTTGTTTATCCAGCTGCACAAAATATCCTTTTCATACCAAAAAATAATATTTTAACAATAGTTAGCCCATCAATGGCTACTGGGCGTACATATAATTTATCGCAAAACGAAACTTTCATGGCGTCAAAAAAACTAAATTTAATGAAAAACCGAAAATAGGTAATATCTTTCATTAATTTTAATTTATCTATTATATCTTTAAAATTTATAAAATAATTTTTCGAAAATTAAAATTTTTTACAAAAAATGATTATAATCGCAGCTAAATAATCTCATTTCATGATATTAATGCTGGAAAATCTTATTATTTATGTTTAAAAGTGAAAAAAAGTTTTAAAAAATAATAATTATAACAAAACACGTTATTTTATAAAGGAGCGCCATCTATTTTTGAAAAAATATTTATTTTTTGATTTTTTAAATCGTAATAACTAAAAAACCCATGACTGTCCCAAGTTTAAATTTTTTTTATGAATAGATATAAGGTTAGAGAATAAGAAAATATTAAATTCAAAAAAATTTGGAAAACGAAACACCTGGAATTTTTGTGTTTAAAATTTATAATGTAAATAAAAACCGCAACAATGTTATTTCAAAAAAATCCTTAATATTTAATAAAAGGCCTTTTACAAAATGTCATATAACTTATATTTTTAAAATCATTATTTTTTAACTCATCTCAATTTCAAAAAATCGTATTTTTCGAAAAAAGTCATTTTTGGCACTTTTGACCATTGATATCTCTGGAACTATGAGTACTAGGAAGCTAAAATTTTGGATTCGATGCTTTCAAATGATATTCTCTCAGCATACAAAATATTATCGAAATTAAAAAGGTCGGGCCGAAAAGTTATCGATTTGGTATGGAATTACCCGGGGTTATATAAGAAGTATTACTATTACTTTTAAAAAATTAAACATCGCTAAGACAATTCAATGTGGAAAAAAATAGAGCGGCGGCCTAATGACTTAGGAAAAAGCGACAAAAGCTATTCAAATGAAGATTATTATTTATACTAAATAAATAGAAAAATTGGCCCATGAGATCTCAACATCGCCTGTCCCCTATCCTTAAGAGTTGATTTTAGAATTAAAACCCTCCAAAACTGTTTTTTATTAAACTTATTAGTAACCGAAGTCAATTGTAAAATATCTGAGAATCGAAATCGGTCTTAAGTAAAGTGCAATAAATTTAGTTTATTCTCAAAGACTCCTATTAGAGTGTTAATAAATTTTAAACAATTTCATTTATCCCATTTATTTATAATTTTTAACTTATTCTTAAAGATTATTAATTAGAGGAAAATGAAAGTGAACAAAGTAAAAATATTAAATTTGGATATTGTTAATTTAAAGAATTCTCAAAATCTAAATAAAAATTGTTAAACAAAGATGTAGGGCAGCTTTTGTAAACTTATCAAAATCATTTTATAATTTATATAGGCTGATCATTTATTTTTTGCATAGACCCTTGGGCCGAGCCGTATTTTAATTTTTTTTATATATACCCGGGCCGGGCTATATATTTTAAAACCAAATATTTGAAATTGCCATTATTAGCTATAAAAATCAAAAATAAATATAATATATTTTTAAAAAATCTGGGCAGGGGATGAAAATATAAAACCCGAACCGGGTCGAAAAATTTTTTAAAAAAAATAATCCGGGCCGGGCCGTGCAAATAGTACCTCTGCAGGTCTTTGATTTTTTGTTCAGATTAATTTTTATACCATATATTAAAAGGGCATATTATAGATAAAATTAAATTTATATATCTGTTTTTTATGAAATCATTACTGTTATATTTTATATAAGGTTATTTAACGTTATTTGAATATTATATTTGTCATAAAATAATATAACGTATTTATATTTAATATTATATAAAAAGTCAATTTAATTGAATACTTATAGAAGTTAAATTTAATCATAATAAAATAGTATATATAGATAAGAATTTAAAATAAAGACACCAGTTTGTTTTGACCAACTAATCGAGACATAAAATTAGCGTCGAAATAAAAAAAAAGTCTTCGGTCAAGTTAAATACTATTTTTTGTTTTTTTAAAAAAAATATATATCTTTTTAGAAATTATGGGTGATATTTCAAAAATTACATCAAATCAATTCCAAAAAGAAGAATGTTCTCTTGATA